TTCCATAATTAAAATATTAAGGTTGGGAGGCACAAAAAGTTCAGGTTAAGAGCGAGGCCTGGCAGTGTACTTCATTGTCTAGGGAGTGCAAAGCTGAAAGGGAGGCTGTCGGCTGTTGGCTCAAAATGTGACTGACAGCTTTCAATTATTAGTTTGTGATCAGGAGGAAAGATCTTCCAAATGTGACCACTGTCTCAGGTAGATTACCTTTGGGTCCTGAAAGCTTTGACAGGTAGTCTTAATCACACGTTGGAAATTATCCTTGCTCTTGTGAAATGTGTATCTTCAGATTAGCCATGGTTTTGTTAACTACATTCTCAGTGTTACCATGTAATGTTTTTATAACTTTCGGCCTTCTCAGAATGTCTGTAATAATAAAAATAGGTCTTCATTGCTGAAGTGTTACTCTGCCTTAAAGCAGGTACACAAAGGTTCTGGATCCATCGCTGAAATAAGCTGCCTTGTTATGGTCCTCATTAAGCCCCCTCAAGAGGCTGATGTTGAAGGAACTTAGTTTGTTACATTTGTGTAAATATTTTTCATCATCAACACGCTTTACTTTATTGTTAATATTTCATAAAATATTCGCTTTTCACTCTTTCCGTGAGACAGTTCTAAATTAGAAGTCAAAAGCTTCAACATCATAGCGTTCTCAAGGGTGGCAGTTCTTGCAGTGCAAATTATTGTGAAATGTACAAGAGTTGCTAAAGATAGTTTCTATTTCAGTAAAAGGATGTACTGGGGGGGGGTTAGTGTTGGGTCAGATTTGCAGGTGATGAATGGAAAGAGAGAAACAGTTAAACTAGTTAAAATTAATTTTAAAATCTGAAGTTTCCTTATGATACCTTTGTGCAGCTTTATCTTAATATTTTCACAAGGTATTTTTAAAAACACAAAATGTGAGACTAACAACTTAATTGGAAACATGCCATTTTTTTCCACTTCTTGGCATAGACTTGCATTGGCAGTAATGTTCTAAGTGAAACTTGCATTCATCTATGTAGCGTTTTGTTTCCAATGATTTCTTGTAATAGAGAACAAAAGTCACATCTGTAAATGGGCTATTTTTAAATACCAGTGGTTACATGGTAGAGTGATTACTGAACACCAGCATTGGGGCTCTTTTGAAGACTACTTATGTGGATTAGGTGGCTGGAGAACCTGCTGCTTCAGCTAAAAATAATTCCTAGATAACTGTCAATTTGCATTAAATCTACTTTTCAGTACTGAAACAAGCAAATTTTAACGTAAATGTTAATTGCAGATCTTGGTCACCTCAGTCTCAATTGTGTCCCTGGAGGACGCTGGCTTTGTAACTATTAGAGAAATTCTACAGAAGTGCTAGGTTTGAGACTTTAGTAGCAATCATTGTCTAGTTATAGCCAAGTGTCAAATTTGTAGTAGCTCATTAATTTCTGATCTGGTTTCTTCTTAGTTAGTATTGGACAAAACACTTGAAAATGTACTGTAAGGAACAGTTCTACATTGAGAGAGAGAGAGACAGAAAAGGCCCACTAGATCATCTTGTCTGTTCGATGCATGCTGGTGTACTTAGTAGCATAAAAGGGAACATTAACTGTGTAAAAAAAAATTAATAGAGGACACTTAACATTTTAAATCTTCAAACCTCCCCTCATCTCACTTGTCAGAGGCCAGAATTATACCCATTTTACAGATGAGGAAATAGACGGGTTGAAACCCCTGGTCACTCATTATGTGTTTGATAGCTGAGAAGTTCCCAGCACTCAGTCCATTGCACTTACTTTAGGGGAAGAGTTGGTTTTATATCTTGGTAGAGCACTGGTAGCTGGAATTCTACCCAATCAAGTCCAGTGAATTTACATTAAAGTAGTGAATTCCTGGATTGGATAACTTGGTCATGTTTCACATTTGCAAACTGTGTGAAGTGACCTTTGATGTTTACCTGCTCTTCTGGAAATGAGGAAAACCACTTCTAGGAACTAGGGGCAGGCGAGCTTTGTCAATGTAGAAATTATACTTGTGTAGGGGAGGAGCTCTAGGGGCTCTCATTTGGCCAAGCCCTGCTCCCTGAAGCGTTTCTTGCCAGAACAGTAGTCAGACATAATAAGCGTTGTGTTCCTAGGCTGTTAGAGCACTCTGCTGTTACAGTACGTGGAGGCCAAAACTAAGTGCCTCTGAGCACCCAGAAAGCCATATAGATCCTACTAAGTGGAGTTTATATTATTCAGCAGATGGCTACCAGTTGGACCCATGGCTTTGCTGGACATGGATGTGAAATATATGCATGTCTGGTGATACAAGATACAACCAGTAATTCACTTAGGGCTTGTCTGCAAGGTGAATTAGTGCACAGGAAGCCAGGGTGTACAGGCGCATTGCACCAGCTGGCCATGGACTAATTCACCATATGAACACTGCTCCAGCAAGTCCCCCAGTGTTCACGTGGCAAGTTAGTGGTGTGGCAAGTTGGTGTACTGTCAGTTCACACTCTGGCTAGCCGTTGTACTAACTCTCTGTGTAGACAAGCCTTTATAGACAGTCAAACTTTAAATAGTGTATGGTACCACTGAAAATAGATTACAACGGACATTCATTCTGCACCCTCTGCTGGCAACCATCTTAATTATCAACCATTTATATTGTGGAAGGCCCTAATCCATGCCGAGCACAGAACATGCATGGAAAAGAGACAAGCAGCTCTTTCAGTTGAAAAACTCGTGCGGTAGGACTCAGGGAATTCGTTATCCATGAGAAAATGGTACAAGTTAGGCTGATGCCAGTGTCATCTGTAGGGTTCTCTGCAGAGCACACTTAATGTTTGATTCATATAATAGCAGGGTCACGCTCCAATGTGAGCCTGAAATCCTGATTAGGAAATTATAATCTATCAAGAGATAATAATCATGATTTCTAGTGGCTTGTGTTGCACTGTTTAGTGCCAGATCACTAATTTTAAAGAACCCAGCCTACACTGGTTTGAATTCAACACTGACAAGAGCAACCATGATTTGAGGATGAGTGAATGAGGGTGGACCAACTTCCTAGAGCGGTGTTTGTCAGTGTCTTCTGGGGAGACTTCCTCCTGCCTCTTGTAATTGTCAGATAGCTGTCACTCCCCACCCATGCCTTCATACAGATTCAGCTCTTTTTTATTATTATTATATTTTTTTGGCCCATTTCCTCTTTGCTCATTTTCTGCCTCTGTCCTGTTTTTCTTTCTTCAAGCCTGTGTGTGTGTGGCAACTTTTATTCTACTCTGTGGCTCCCACCTCCCTGTCTTCCACTTTGAGCACTACATGCTACTTGGCGTGAGGAGGGCACCCCTTGGGAGATCTTTGAGACCAGGTGCTGTGTTCTTGTAGCTGTACCGTGTGTTGCAAAAACTGGCTACGCTGGCTCTTGCAACTTTACTGTGAGTATCACAGTACCTGGTATCTTATTAAATCACTAGCTCCTGGAATCAAGTGATTGTGAGAATCTCAGCTTTCATTTAGTTTAAAAAAAAATGGTTCTAGTCCTTATGGTTCCATAGCAACTTTGAAAATGTAACCCTAATGCTCTCTAAGCTCCAAAACTAGAAAGCAAATAAAAAGAATCCCAAATTTTTGGCTTAAAAAAAAAACTTGTGACAATCTTCATTTTTCTGGGTGTGTGGGGGTCTGACTCATGATCTTTGACTGCCTGGAGTTGGCAGAGCACAAGACGAGAGAAGAAAAGCTTGGGCTGGTGAATCTTGAGCCCGCAGCCAGATACGTTAGAGCTTGGGGTAGATAAGTGGATTTCAAGGAACTGCCTGTTGCTTTACATGCAGGAGCACATTTGAGCTTTATCTACACTAGCACACTGAAAAAAATCCCTGAAAGTTCCCACCTGTGGTGCCGTACCAGTGCATCTCCTGCAGTGCTAGCTACATCGATGGCACTGGTTTAGACAGAGCACTGGTATTCACCAGCATTCTTACCACCTTATCTGGACCTGCTCTGAGAAGTCTCAGTGACATGGTGTTAAAAACAGCTTTGTCCACAGTAGGGCTCACACAGGTGGAACAGCACAACTGCTGATAACTGTAGGAAATTTTGGGGGGGACAAGAGGAGCACCTCCTCTCACTACTAAGAGCTCTGAAACCACAGCCAATTTTTCCAGCTTATCTTTCTGGAATCTGGCAGAAATATTTCAAATGGCTTTGTCTAGCCTTTGATCTAGATTTAAGTGGTACATTACTGCTAAGTCTTCCTACCTCCAAAAAATATCTATCATTAAAGTCTAGTCTATGCCAGGAGGTTTTTGCTGGTTTAACGATAACAGTTTAGTTAAACTGGCAAAATCCTCCTTGTGTAGATGTAGTTACACAGATATCAAAGTGTCTACAGCAGTATAACTTACTGCCATAAGCTCTTCCGCACCCATCTAACTGCACTTATACTAGGGTTTTTACCAGCATAGCTGTGTTGGCAAAAAATCACATTCCGACTGACATAGCTTTGCAGGCAAGTCTAGAATCTACAGCCCTAGGGTGAACCTGCTGGCAGGATAAAATCCACAGGAAGTATACCTCTTCAGAAACCTTCCCCAGATGGTTTGGATTCCCTCTTGCTGTGGTAAACCAGAATTTAAAAAGCTAACTACTGCCTTAAAAGTTCATAATGCTTTTCTCCCTCATTCTATTGCGATTTCTAAATCTTACATACATCTTACCCTTCTGTGACTAAGGCCAGATTGCCATTTTCTGGTACTGTATCATTGGAGAAAATAAAACTAGAAAATGACTTGGGGTTGGGATGGAGAAGGGAAGACCGAAGCAACTGTTAATGTTTATTAACTATATGAAACTCCCCTACTACTGCTCCTTTTGCTTGCCATCATTCCGGTGTTCTGTGCCGTAATTCACAAACGTTACTTTTGTTAAGTGCTGAAAGTGACTGAAGAGAAATACAGCACTAAGTGACCTTCTGAATGTCTGGTGTTTGTGGTAGAGCAGACTTCCCAATGATCCACTTTTTTTTCTCTTTCCAAACAGCACATCACTATTCCCAGGCCCGATTGCCAAACGGAAGTGCGAACTTTCATGTTTTATCTTTCAAATATTGGCAGGGACAGCCCCCAGGGGAGTTTTGACTGTATACAGCAGTATGTATCCAGGTGAGTGGTCCGTCAAAAAGGAAGAAAAATCTTGTTGCTTGGAGTGAGGGTTTTTTACTTACGCTATGAATAGAAGTGAAATGTAAATGTGCCTTTAAAGTAAGGTTTGGGGTTTTTTGTTTTTGTTTTGTTTTTTCTCCTAGGAGGCTTTTCCTTTGTGGGACCTAGTGTGTGTGCCGAGGGGTCATGCACAGAAAAATGACTACCTGTCCCAGCCACTTTCTGGATTTTTTTGCAGATACTTTCAAAGACTACCCCTGTCCTCCTTCACATTCCACATTCTTTTGTTCTTTTACAGGCTTCTTCTGTGTCTGTTAAACTTTTTTCTTAAATTTTCAGCTCTAGCAATGGTGGAGGTGCTAACGTAGACTGGCCACTAATATTTTAACCCGCACACTGACTAGCCCCACTTAGAGCAGCAGGTCTAGAAAACTTGGTGACTAAAATGCTGGTGGCCAGCCTGTGCACACGAAGTATCCTGCCTCCCTATCATCAGTGGAGCTAAATGGTAGCAGGGCAGGGAGATTTTTAGGCAAGGCTAGTGATTCCTGTTCGTGTCTGAGGTCAGTCAGTAGTTTTGGAGACTGTGATATAGCCTAAAATAATCACGATAGCCCAATCCGCACTACAAAAGAGACGGTGTTAGTAATCCTTTCTCTACGTTCAATACAAACCCCAGACCTTACAGCTACCACAGTTTTGCTCCAGGGGTAGATAGTGCTCGTTTATGTTTAAAGTGTTCCTCTAAAGCTTTCAAGTGGGGTTTCAAAAGTGCCCAAGTCGATGGAAAAAACCATTGACCTCCGTGGCAGCAGAGCTAGTGAAGTACTGAGTGCTTTTGAAAATCCCAGCCTCCCCGGCCAAGCCTGTATTGCAACTTCAGTTTGAAAAAACTTCTGACCAAATTCAGCCTCACTTGGGGCAGACACAAGCTAGTTGCACTGGGTAAAATCTCTTATTAGAAGTGATTAACAGCATGTGCTTCCTCTCCCCCCCCACTTCCCCTGCCTTGTAGTGTGGCTCAGGGAGAATTGGGCTGGGGAGGATGCACTGTGAAGGAGAAAACCTTTGCATTACAGTGCACAGAGCCTCTGAAAAACATGGTTGGGAACTAAGTGACGGGTTAATGGGTCCGTCAGTGAGATCCTTGGAAAGTCTCTTAGGTTAATGCTTTGCAGGAGGGCTTAAGTATCTGGGCTACAATCCTTTTCCATGCCTGTAATTTCCTACCTTTCTTATCCTTAGAAAGCTACAGTGACTTTACTGATACTTTGCCAGTGATAGGGGACGAACATAGAATCATACAATATCAGGGTTGGAAGGGACCTCAGGAGGTCATCTAGTCCAACCCCCTGCTCAAAGCTGGACTAATTCCCAACTAAATCATCCCAGCCAGGGCTTTGTCAAGCCTGACCTTAAAAACCTCTAAGGAAGGCTTAGTGAAAGTGTTTCCTAATATCCAACCTAAACCTCCCCCACTGCAACTTGAGACCATTACTCCTTGTTCTGTCATCTGGTACCACTGAGAACAGTCTAGATCCATCCTCTTTGGAACCCCCTTCAGGTAGTTGACAGCTGCTATCAAATCCCCCCTCATTCTTCTCTTCTGCAGACTAAACAATCCCAGTTCCCTCAGCCTCTCCTCATAAGTCATGTGCTCCAGCCCTCTAATCATTTTTGTTGCCCTCCGCTGGACACTTTCCAATTTTTCCACATCCTTCTTGTAGTGTGGGGCCCAAAACTGGACACAGTACTCCAGATGAGGCCTCACCAATGTCGAATAGAGGGCAATGATCACATCCCTCGATCTGCTGGCAATGCCCCTACTTATACAGCCCAAAATGCCGTTAGCCTTCTTGGCAACAAGGGCACACTGTTGACTCATATCCAGCTTCTCATCCACTGTAACCCACAGGTCCTTTTCTGCAGAACTGCTGCCTAGCCACTCGGTCCCTAGTCTGTAACAGTGAATGGGATTCTTCCGTCCTAAGTGCAGGACTCTGCACTTGTCCTTGTTGAACCTCCTCAGATTTCTTTTGGCCCAATCCTCTAATTTGTCTAGGTCCCTCTGTATTCTATCCCTACCCTTCAGCGTATCTACCACTCCTCCCAGTTTAGTGTCATCTGCAATCTTGCTGAGGGTGCAGTCCACGCCATCCTCCAGATCGTTAATGAAGATATTGAACACAGGAAAAGGCTCCTAATTCTCCAGTGGCTTGGAAAGCTCAGGCATCCACTAGTCCTGATGTGCTTGCATCACAGACCATTGCATTGAATTTTCCATTCTTACTGTTCTGGCAGGGTTCAGCTCTTAGAAACAGCTTGCTGCTCAGTGGCTGCTGGAGAGTAGCAAGTTTTTCTCTTGAACCCATTTTGCAGAAATCCACTGTGGAGGAAGGATAGTCGAGTGGTTAAGACATAGGACTTGAAGCTGGGAGATCTGGATTCTATTCCTGGCTCTCCTACAGATTTCCTGTGTGACTTTGCGCAGGTCAATTTAACCACTGAGCCTCAGTTTCACCACATGGCAAATGAAGATGTCGTCTTACAGGGATATTAGGCTTTATTCATATTTGTAAAAGAGTCTGAGCTGTTTAGATTAAGCGTAGCCATGTGAGTGTAATTATTTCTGTAATAACTTGCTGGCAGGAATCTGATATAATAAACTGATTAGCTCGCTAGCAGTTTTTTTCCCCCCCTGCATATATAGAAAAATGTTGGTATGGCCTGTTATATAAGGAACTGACCTTTACCAAAAGGCCATGATGAGCACAGCTGCTTTCAGGTAACTTCAGGTCTCTCCATGGCTCACTTACTAGGCCAACAGCGGAATGTATGTTAATCCTAGGAATATCTGATATCATTTATTTTTTACAGCAATGGTAATATCCATCTGGATTGTCTTGGAAGCATACAGGATAAAATCACTGTGTGTGCTACTGATGATTCCTACCAGAAGGCAAGGCAGAGCATGGCACAAGCTGAGGAGGAAACGCGCAGCCGAAGTGCAATAGTTATTAAACCCGGCGGGAGATATGTAGGTAAGAAGCAACTTGATTGTTGGAGCTGTACCTGGTTCCCACTTAGGAGGCATCTGTTAGTGTTTGTCTGGGCTATTAATGGCTTGACTGTAAGTGGTTTGTTGGCCAAATCTGACATCTTCACAAATCTTCTTTTAAACAGTATCTGGTAGTGTCTGATGAGGGTCTGGTAACATCTCTAGAGTAAAGATGCTGAGCATAGCAGAGCTAGGGGTCAGATACTCAGTGACCATTCTGTTCCTAGATGGCAGCTGAGGATTGGTCTTACGTAGTTTGCTTTTTGAGAGTCTTCGTTTATTTCTGTTACCGGGACCAAATCGTTGTACTGCTTCACAAAAAGTGCTTCTGTACTGGCCGACTGACCAGGTACACAACCCATGACCCACCCGTCCTATTCTACATACCTGGAGTGCATCTGCACTGAAAGGAAAGCCATTAAATGTCATCTGGGGACTGAACTAGTATTCACCAACAAAGGGATTAAGGTAGTGGTGTTAATTGCAGCCATGGAAGAAACTGTTCTACTTTACAAGCTGAAAGGTAGAATCTCTACTAGGAAGGAAGAGAGAGAGGGGACAAATATCAGTGGGTTCCAAACTAGAGTGGGGAGGTGCCTTCTTTGGACTCAGATCCCTATCCCCTGCCAAAAACATGAACACTTAGTGCAACCCAGAAGACCCAGTCTCAGTTTTTATGAGTCAGTTGGTTTTTCTTCTCCCAGCTCATGTGATCTGATGACTTGTTTCCTCACAGAGGATGTCTATGAACAGAACGGTGAGTTGCAGAATGGAGAATTGACCTTCACTCATAGTTTTATCAGCCAAGTGCTCAAAGCTGAGAAGTAAGATAGTAATCAGGAAGGAAATTAATTGATTTCCTGTCCTCTAGAAAATAATTTTAACTCTTCATATTTGAAAAACCATTCGAGGAAAGGGATAAAGTTGTCAGGCTCATGAGCAAACAGCTTCCCAGAAAGAGAGGATAATAAAACTTACATTTTAAAATTCTTACTAGAACTTTTCCCTTTATAAAATGAAGACAAAGCCACACAAGGGTGGGGGTGGAGGTGGGGCTTCCTGTGTCAGCTGAGACTTTGGTGTCAAAATGTCTGGGGGTGGGGAGGAGGAGGAGGAGGGGACTGGGAGCACAGTAGTTAGGTTTATTCAAGAAAAGGGAGGGAAGAGGGGTCCAGGGTCCTGCTCTCCAGCCTAGGATTAATGATACATACTCAGAGTAGCCTCATCTTTTAAGGTGCACATTGCATCTGACTTACAGGCTCCTCAAGCATGTATGTGACTTGTTGACTTTATATGATCTAAGAGGAGGGCAAGCGGATATATTTTTAATTGATGTTTATATGAGATGTATATGTAGCGATTTCGGGCAGCTCAACCTGATTGCTATGAAGAAGTTAGAGTTTCTTCATTAAGTGTGAAAATTAGAGCAGTCTGGATAAGCCTGCCCCTTGAACAGAACGCTTGTTGAGGTTAAAAAGGGTTTGCTTTAACATCAGGTATATTTTGTGTGTATCTCTCCACCTCTTGGTTCCAGCTGTAAATGGAAATGCCACAAAAAACCATATTTCTGGTGTTTGATTCCTGGCCAAAAAACAAGCAAGCTCTAGAAACCTGATGAGTCTGTTCTTGTGACATTTCTTATCCTATTTCTAGTAATTCGATCCTGTTAGACCTCTGAACTTCTGGGTGCTTAACAACATGTGTGGACTCTTCTGTTCTCTCCCTTTTTATCTTCACTCAACTTCACCAGTGGAACAGCCTTTATTGACTTGCATCAATGTGTGTAAGCAGAAGCCAGGAAATGATGACTTAAAAAAATTATGCAACCTACATTTCAGTAGAATAAACAAACATTGCACACAGTCAGCAGCATCTTCAGATGACTCAGTTGAAAACACTGTTTCCTAAGCAGAGAGAACTGCCATGCTGAAATAAGATCTCCAAAAATTGAAAGAATAAATAACTGGATTTCATTTATGCCAGATCAAATCGCTCGGTTTGCTTGAACTAAAATGGCTGTTAATTTTTTAAATGGCTTCTATAAAATTGTGCAAAATATGAAGACTTTTGCCTCTGGTTTTGGCTATCTAGGTTTCTTTTCTATAGACACTATTCTCTGTCATGGGGGCACATTTATGATTAGTAAAAGAATCTGGCTTTTCATTAAGAAAGCTCTTGTTTTCCATCTGGAAACAACCTTAAGTTTTTTTTTTTTTTTTTTTTTTTTTTTTTTTTTT